ACCTTTAGACTGAATAAAGCTGCATCCAGTTCATGTTTAGTGTCATTTAAACTCTAAGTTCTGATTTAAAACTAAAACAACCAAGCACACTCATATTCACACCTACGGACAATTTACAATCACCAATTAACCTCAGCATGTTTCTGGACTGTGGGAGGAAGCCGGAGAACCCGGAGAGAACCCACGCTGCACGGGGAGAACATGGAGACTCCACGGTGTCCTCAGTGGGACACGAACCGGCGACCTTCTTGCTGCAAGGCAACAATGGTAACCACAGAGCCACCTTTCAGCCCTGCGTTCACATTGTTTACGCCAAATTCTGACCCAAACATCTGAATGACACAGCGGAAATCAGACCAAGTAATATCTTTCCAATCTTCTGTGGTCCAGTTTTGGTGAATCCTTGTGAACTGTAACCTCAGCTTCCTGCTAACAGGAATGTGCTCTTCTGCTGCTGGAGCCCATCTGCTTCAGAGATGCTCTTTTGCATACCTTGGTTGTAACAGGTGTACCTAATAAAGTGGCTGATGAGTATATAGCTGAGTTTTTACATGATTAATCTGATTCATTAATTGCAAATTCTGCTTTCTGACCTGCATGAGAAGATCTTGAAATCTTATGTACCTATTTGTGCTGAACATGACGACCAAAGTGTGGTTCCGTACAGCAGACTTGTAGATGTCATGATGGCACTCGGGTTAAAAATTAAGGCAACAACAAAGTCATTACAATTCATCCTAAAGGGAGGGAGGGGGGATGAGATGAGCGTGTTTACCAAATTTCATGGCAATTCATCCAGCGGTTGTTGAGACATGTCCTAATCCCTTAAGCCCTGGGCTATTTTTTTTTTTTAATTTCCACCTGGAAGAACATCCCCAAATTCAGTCAGCAGCAGCAGCTCCACGACTGTAAGGCCAAAATGGAAAACAGCAAGTCTTCTACGGATAAGGGACACTTAGGAGAATTTTGAAGTCTTCTTGTGCTCGTCTTCAGGTCGAAATGAGATCTGAAAACCCCTCCACCTAATCCGAACCAGAAATTAGGTAGCATCCTCATGATGGTGAGCGTTATGAAAGAGGTTCTGAAGCTTCTTACCTGAAATGAAACACAACAAGGCTTCAACCATTTGGACAGCTTTGGATGCTCCACGCTCGGAGAAAACGGACAAACCTTACTCCACTAATGAAGAACGTCTGCACACATTTTCATGGCAGTCAATCTATAAATATGCAAATATACGGCTGCTAATGACACCACCCGCATCCGTCAGCTTCTTCATTTACGCTCTGACTCGTTCGACTTTACATCATCTCATCTTCATCATCGACATCCAATCCCCTCTCCAGCAGATCTCCCGGCGCCCACAACAAGTTTTGTTGATTCCACTCGTGGACAAACTTTTTTCTTTTTTTTTCCTTTCGCTCAAATCTCTCATAAATTATCAGTCATCTCCCGGTTGCCATTTGAGGCCACTAACCTGTGAAATTGCTTGGTAGAACCTTAAGAATAACTGTAGCGCCGTTATCTTATTAGAGAGCCGACATATTTTTCCCCCGGATTCCACATCGTCACCGTGGAGCTGGTGATAGACAGGATAGACAGAGAATGAGGAGAGAGGCAGATTGAAAAGAGGGTAGAGGGAGATATTTGGAGAGAGGAGAGAGTCATGCAGAGCCTTTTAATTTGGTGTCTTTCATCTTCAGCCTGAATGACGTGACGCATGTGCGCCTGCGTGATGTGAAGTCTTTGCTAATGCATGGTGCGGGTCTGAAACACTTCATGTATGTGAGTGTGTCTCAGTGTTCGAGCTGCTCGGCGTCTGCATCTACAAATGCATATGAGCGCATGAATCACTGCTGGCATATGAGCTTTCAATTTGCAGGGTAATCAGCTTATGTCTTCGGAGGGTAGCGGAGCACAGGAGGTGAATATTAGGTGTGTGTGAGGGCCTGTGTGTTTGCGTGCACGTGTGCTTTTTAGCATCACTTTTGATGTCAGCTCATGCCTCCATAGAGCAGCGCAGCCGCGGGGGGTAGAAGCCTGCTGAGAGGCTGAAGGCGGGGGACAGCCCGAGAGTCTTACAGAGGTTTCTTCATCTGTTTTCTCTTCTGCTCCGTCCCTCTCTTCTTCCCTCGCCGCCGCCTCTCTTCATCTGAATCATCGCTCTGCGTCCACACAGGGGGAAGCTCCGGGAGACTCGTGTGGAAATTAAAAGTCAAACAGGTGAAATGCAAAAGGAAATTATGTGTGTGCACAGGAGCGCGCGTGTCTTTCTGTATCAGCTTAAGTGAGTACACACCGAGCAGTCGCGTGTACCTGCACATAAGCCCGGTTTGCTCTCATTCATTTGTCAAACGAAGGTAGGAACCGCGCCGCCGAATTAAGTAGGTCAAGAAAATGAAGTCGACCTTAATCAGCCTTCCGTCCGTCCAACTAATTCCAAAGTGTCTTTAATCAGTTTTGCAGGTATTTACCGCAGCATGTGGGTCCAGTGATGCCCCTCCGACCGACTCACAGGCAGCAGCAGTCTAACTGGGAGGGCAGCTGATTGACATGTAATCGCTATCAGCAGCTCGCTGGGCCTCTCCGGCTGTAATGTGCTGCATGTGTTCGCTCCGTCTCTCGCTCTGTCAGTCCTTCTTTGTGTTCACGCCGTCACCAGCTCCACGGCACACATGACGACGCACATCCACCCGCTGCTCTGCTGATAGCTGCTGACTGCACGTTAGCTCAGTTTGAATACATTTCTTTAGATTATACTGCAGCTCCTGTGTGGACACCCTGTACCTATACTTAGCTGCTCCTCCAGGAACCTGTAACATGAAACCACATTAGAACTCGTACAGTTAAGTCCAAAACTAGTCATACACGTTTAAATTTAGATTTTTTAGTGGATTTTTATTTAACCAATTGATTCTTCTGGCTGGCAGTTACATAAACAAGTGACAAAAGGCAGAAGGACATCGTGTTAACTTCTGGTTTGTAGTTAGTTTCCTCAGTAATCCTTTATTTTCCACCACAGCACTCAGACAACTCTTATTATTGCTAACGGGCTTTTTGCGTGTCACCGCCGGGATTTCGTTCCACTCGTGATGATCTTCTCGTCATCGAGGTTGAAGGGCTTCCTTTCCATCACGCTGGTTTTCAGTTTCCTCCACAGATTTGTTTGATGGGTTTCAGGACTGGACCCGCCCAAAATATTATTGTTTTCTTCCATTTCTTGACCCCTGTGGTTGTGTGTTTTACATCATTGTCTCGTGGGAAGGTCCAGGCGAAGGGTTTCCTGCAGACCGTCTGATGTTCTCCTCCAGATTCTTAATGTAATCCTTTGATGCTGTTTGCTTTGGCTGAACAACGCCCCCTAAAGCATTGCGTTTCCACCGCTGGTCTTGCCTGTGGTGTTCTTGGACGCTTCTGCTTTCGTTGACCAAATAAAAGCCTCGTCCCTGCGTCCAAATAACTTCAATCAGCTCCAGCCGCAGAACTGATGACCAAAAGCTTTCTTCTTGGACCAAACGAGCTCGTGCTAAGTTTAGACGAGCCTTCATGTGGCTGTCTTGGAGAAGTGGCGTTGTTCTTGGTTGGAGTTGAAGGAGACCAGCCTCGTTAAGTTTCTGCGCCGAGATGTTGGACCAGAACTGCTCAGATTCACCAGGATGGACTCTGGTGGTGATCCTTGGATTCTTCTTTGCATCTCACACATTCTGTGCAGCGGTCACGTTTGGCTTCGTACCATTTGAGATTGTTCAAAGTGTAGAACTTCTTGAACTTTTTGATTATGCTTTGCTTTGTGGCCACTTGAAAGCCTTTCCTCGTCTTCACCAGCCTCTCCTGTCGATGGACCCTGATAGCAAGCTTACTGAGCTGTTTGGTTTTAGCCATGACTTGCGATTGATTCGTACCTGACTAAAGAACCAGTGCATCAGCTGTTCTCAGTTTATAGTTAATGAGAATGTTGTAGGACGGCGGTCCCCAACCTTTATTGCACCAGTTTTAAGCAAGAACATTTTCTACGGACCGGTCATCGCGCACATAACAAAAGATAATTGTTGTTTCTATTAAAAAGCTTCATAAATTAATAAAAGTACTTGTTTGTTTGCTTTTTCTTCCATCTCAGTGTTGAGTCTCTCCCGCTTTCCAAAGAAGCTCTCCTGACATGTTTGTTTTTTTGTTTATTTCGGCGGCGGATAGACTAACGGCTTCGTTTAAAACTGATAAGATTCAAGTGCGAGAAACAAGACGGATGCAACGAGCTAGTCATTTTTCAAAATAAAACACCCTGCAGACTCCGCTGGAAACAAAAATAAACCAATGAAATGTTTTTTTTCTTTCTGTGTTGCCCGGTACCAAATGACCCACGGCCCGGTACCAGTCCACGGCCCGGTGGTTGGGGACCGCTGCTGTAGGACATGGTAGAAATAACCAGGACTGTTTGGAATAGTATGCATGTTTTCAAAAAACAGCAATCATGACTTTGCATTTTAAGTAAAGACAAAAGTAGTGAAAACTTGTCGCCAACATCTCCAACGCAGCTTTCGTCATTAGTTTGAAGAAAACATCAACTATAATTCAAAATTTGTCGTATATAATTAAGTTTGAACTCAAAACGTGAAGGTTATTGGCTCTGCTTTGGTTTTCCACTGTGTTTTACAAACTCGGAGGGATTGGATGTAAGTCACTTTGGATGTATCGCAGACTGTTTACTGTCCTGGGTGTCGTTCACGCTGCCCCGAGCATCTGGTGGAGCTCATTAGGGCTCCTCTGGAAAAACATCTCATCAGCTTCAGTTCATGTAGATGTAATGTTTGGGCTGAGGTGAAGCCACTGGTTGTACAGAAAACTTCCACCATTCATCACTGGAAGTATTATGACCACTTCTTCAATTCATCTATTATCAGAGTTTTATAACGTCTTGAATTCTCAGCTCCTCTACGCCCACACACCGGCGGCATTAAGGGGGCAGTTGCTTCTCTTTCTCCCTCTCGCTGTCTCGCTCGCACACCTCTGTACCGCCTTTCAAGTCTGTAACAGAAGCCACTTTAAAAAAAAAAAGCTTTTGTAATGAGGAACACTTTTGGTGGGTGAGGAAACGGAGACATCAGACGCCATGTCAGAGATGGAAATGTGTCTATGTGATCACTGATCCCTCAGAGTGTAGTAGCCTGGAGAAACGCTGAAACGAGGAACTCGTCATTCTCGCGACAGAACGGGCCGTGTGATTCCGACTAAAGTTAGAACTGTGCAAGACGAAGCCATGGGGACTTGTCAGAATTATTCCTGCGATAGGCGAGTTGCTGTGTTTCTGCTTCTTCTGTTTTTGCTCACTCACCCTCGTCCTGTGTCTCCATATTCAAACTAATTGCGTCTCTCTTTGTTTCTCCTCCTTCATTATCTACTTCTTGCTCACGTAATCCTCCTCGGAGTCTCCTTTTTTTTTGTTCATGTGAAGATTGGACATGTGCAGTATGAAATTAATAAAGAAAAAAATAATGATTCTTTTTTTTTAACCTCGTTAGCATGTTCATTTGGTGTTTTTCATGCTGAAAGACATGTCATTAGCAAAATATGCGGTCGATGCCGTCGCTAGGAGCAAGACAGACACTCGATCATAAAGGAAGGAACAGCGTAAGGTTACATCTGAGCCATCATAACGCGACTTTAATACACAGAGATGAGTTTTATGAGTTCTGTCAATAACCAGAGAGGAACTTTAAGTTGAAGTTGAGTCTCTGAGCACCCGTACAGTTGGAGAGCACGCACACTAACTGACAACTGGTCTTCCTCACATTAGCAAACACGCCGCAGCCCGGCCGCGCTCACCTGAATTACAACCTGTTTGTTGAGGGCAAGCATTAGCTCTCAGACCCCTGAGATAAGCTGTTGGGGTTGGCAGGAATTCACCGAGTCAGCCTGAGTGCTCAGAGCGCCGGACAAACAGTCATCCCGTCTTTTCACCCGAATGTCAACAGCTCAGACTCTCTCTGGCCCCTTCGGTTCGGTAAATCACCAAATTAGAAAAGTCAAAATTACACCGGGGGTGACTAGAAATGGACGATAGACACAGTAAGAGATGACAGCGTGGTATATGATGAGCAGCTCAGTGTCTCTGGAAAACTGTGGCTATCTTTTTGAATCTTACACCAGATTGAAACCCAAGCAAGCAGCCCTGAGAGCTTCCCAGACAACCAGCAAACAGTGAATAAACTTCTGGCTGTATTTCCACTACAACCAGGAATCCTGGGCTGGTAGAAAGAGAACTGTGGGGGAGAAACGTCAGTCAGAGCAGTGAGTCGGCAGAAAGAAGTCCTTAATGATATAGAATCTGACTGTGAATTAAAAGAAATGTCAAGCAGATGATTCGTTTGACAGACACTTGGTTTTTTTAACTAGCCGGGATTCGAGAAAAGAAGAAATGGGAGCGACGGGGGGACTTTTTATGGAGGTTGTTTGTGGTGACAGCGCTGCAGTCTTGAAGCCTATTTGGGACCTAAATGTTTACCGTGATCGCCACAGTCTCAGTGTGACAGTCCCACATCAGCCTGTCTAAACCGATCAAACAAGAAGAGGCTGGTGTTGTAGAGCTAGCGTTGTATGTGCACCGTAAAGGAGAAAGGAGGCCAAATATTACGTCTATTACACTGTGCTGAAAGCTGAAGTCCTGAATATGTCAGTCTTGGTACCAGACCAGTTACAGATCACTTGATGTGTTTATCCATCCATCCATTATCTATACATCCTTAGTAGGCTCATGAGGGGCTGGAGTCTATCCCAGCTGACTCAGGGTGAAGGCAGGTTCACCTGGACAGGTAACCAGTCTATCATAGGGCTACACTTAGAGACAGAAAACCAAGCACACTCACATTCACACCTACGGACAATTTACAATCACCAATTAACCTCAGCATGTTTCTGGACTGTGGGAGGAAGCCGGAGAACCCGGAGAGAACCCACGCTGCACGGGGAGAACATGGAGACTCCACGCAGAAAGATCCCGGGTGTCCTCACCGGGACGCCAACCGGCGACCTTGTAGCTGCGAGGCAACAGTGCTAACCAACTGCACCACCTTGCAGCCTTTTATGTGTTTGTGGTTAACCCAATTCACGTCTTTCCTCATTTTAATAAGAAGCCAGTCAGTGGTGGCAACAGAAGCTTAATTCTTTGCTGAGGAGTTGGAGGTTTGCGCACCATGAGCTTCATCGTTCTTCTTCACGTATTCCTGCAACATTCCTACAATATAACGGTTGTGGGGCAGCTTTGGCTCAGGTGGTAGAGCCTCCAATCGCAAGGTTGGTGGTTCGATCCCCCGCCCAAGGACACTTCGACTGTGGAGGGGATCAAACCGCAGCACTTCACATGGCAGCTCTGTCGCCATTGGTCTATGAATGTGTGTGAATGTGTGTGAATGAGAAACACATCATTTAGTGCTTTGCATAAAAGCTATATACGTGCAGACCATTTACCGTAACTGCAGCACTGTCAAAAAAATGTCCACGTCTTGTTTGGTACGATCGCCGTCAGGACTAATCCCACCGACAAATACCTTTTATTTCATCGCCACAGCCTCGCCGTGTTTCACCAGTTTAAGCTTCGTTAATGAAAGGCGGGAGCAGCAGCAAATGTTTGGTTTACACGTAACACTTGAATACAGCTTAATTAAGCTCTTTTCGCAGAGCTCAATGCAGCTCCGTGAGCTGTAAACTGCGGATAATGGATTTTAAAAGGCATTTTATATTCGATGTGCGTTACTTCCTGTGCACAGGGAGGGTGTTTGTGTCCCGCATGTCAAAGGTCAGCTTCCACCAGCAGTGAATAGCACAAGAGATCATTACAGAGTGAACAATTAAGGGTTATTTTTCACTAATGAACCTTTCACCATTAGGTTTATTCACCCCCAGTCACTGGCTCACCCCCCAGTTAGGACAACACCAGTTTGTTCTGGGATGTTTCTGTTGGCAGGTTATAGCTAAACTTATGTGTCTTGTGTATTGTAGGAACCAGTTTATTCTATTTTCTGAAAATTAATAGACAAACAGAGTGCCTGTAAAAGTGTTCACCCCCTTGGACGTTTTCCCTCTCGTTGCTTTTCAGCACTGAGTTATGGCCAATTTAATTTGGCTTTTTTTTAACAAGAATTTACAAAGATACTCAGATGTCAAGGTGATTTCAACAAAGTGAAACTATAAATCATAAAAGTAAGTGATTGCATAAGTATTCACTCCCTTCCAGTCAGTATTCAGCAGACGTACCTTCGGCCACAATTAAAGCACTGAGCCGATGTGGACGGGTCTCAATCAGCCTCGCACATCTCAACGCTGCAATCTTACCCCATTCTTCTTTTACTAAAGTGCTCAAGCTTTGTCAGGTTGCACGTGGATGATTAGTGAGCAGCCCTGTTCAAGTCTAGACACAATTTTTCAATTGGATTGAGGTCTGGGCTTTCACGCCGCCTCTATAGTGTGAATTTCCAAGCTGAGGGATCAATAAAGTTTATCTTATCTCATAGAACATCCACCCATAGCTTTGACTGTATGCTTCAAGCTATTGTCTTGTTGGAAAAGCAATCTGCCTACAAGTTGCAGCTCTCTCTCAGACTGCATCAGACTTTGTTCCAGTAGTTATCTGGACTTTGCTGCACCTTGCATGGCGACTCTGTCGGTGTATCAATGTGTGAATGGGTGAATGAGAAACACACTGTAAAGGTAGAGAAGCGCTCTATAAGTGCAGTCCGTTTACCTTTTTTTTTTAAACCCACCTTTAAAAGCCTTCCAGGCCCTGCTGCAGAGAAGCATCCCCACCTCATGATGATGCCACCACCATACCTCACAGATGTGCAGTGTCTGGTGTCCACCAAACACAACTCTGAACCCTAACCCTTAACTTTTGTCTCCTTCTGATGAACGCAAGCTTTAATTTTAGCTTCCTCTTCGCCACTCTCCTATAAAGCTTTAACAAAGAACAGGCAGCAGTTGTTGTTTGCACATCTCCTCAGCTGCTGAAGCTTGTAACCATAGATATGTATAATAACGGCTAGATGTCTCGTCCGTGCTGCCGGCCAATGGTACGGTCCGCTCGCTCACCCATAACATCGTGTTGTAGTGGTGCGTGTACTTTTTAAACAACCATAACTTGCTCAATTTTCTACCAATTTTCAAACGGTTTGGTTTGTTCTAAACATCAGAGGTGTAGTTATAACTCTGCACTGATGGATAATTATGTTATGCTCTCATGGCCAGCAACAATTAGTATTTTAATTATTGTGTATTTTATTTGTGTTTTTGTCATTTGAATTTTAGCTACAAGAAACCAAACCGTTTGTAAATCCGTCAAGATTTCAGCGAGGTCAGAGTATTTGTGCAGATCACTCACCTTCATGTACCACAGGTTCCACCAGAGAGCTTCACCAGATCAAGATGGCCGACGGTGATCCCGTTCTAACGCTGCCTTAAGACATCTGGCCTTTATTATACATCTCTATGCTTGTAACTGCTTCAGAAGAGTCACAGGCGTCTTGGTGGCTTTCCTTACTTGTCTTTCTTGCACGGCCACTCAGCTTATGAGGATGTACACATCTACCATATTCCTTCCATTTCGTAACGATGGATTTAACTGTACATCAACTGTAGTCATAGCACTGAGCACTGATTCCTCATCGACTTGGTCTGGATCTGGGGTCTTTATACTACAGTCATTTACATTCACTAACCTCAAATGATCTAAATTTTACTAAATGTGTGACTTCCAGCACCAATTATCAGCATCTGTGTTGAATCAAGGGGGTGAATACTGAAGCAACCACATATTTTACGTTTGTATTTTTAATTAATTGACATTAATTTGTACAAATTTTGATGTCAAAGCACACTTTTTGTGAATTTTTGTCCAAAAAAAAAAATCTAATTAAATCGACCACGATTCAATGTTGAAAAGGGAAAAAAAAACTTCCAACGGGGGTGAATACTTTTGATAGACGCTGCATGTGCTCGAGAGGAAAAATGTATTTTAATAGGGATTAAAACACCAACCAAACAGAAAAACAGTGTGGTGTCCCTTGAGTAAGAGAGAATTAATTTATAAGCTCAGTTCATCCAGGATTTAATGAAAAGTCACAGCTCAGCTGAAGTTCGGCTCGCTCTGGATGTGCTCACCTTCAACTCTCCCTGCACAGCTTCCAGTTCCTCTCATTCATTCATTTCATCCAGATTTTTTGGTTTTATTGCCTCGTCCATGTGAATTGCAGCAGAAGCGAGCCGTGCAGGTGGTCTGACAGATGGTCATGTCTGCTTTGGTGCAGGTACATGTGAGGCCTGGTGTTTGCCTCTTTTTGTTTCGTTCTTTATTTCAGTCTTTAGATGTTTTTCTTTAGCTTTCAGAACTCAGCCGCTTGTCCTCAGGTGTGTCTCCGACAATCAATGTGCGAATCAATATCTACGTTTGTGCTTCTTTTTTGATTGTATTACAGTCTGGTCTCATTTGATGCAACGCCGCAACACTTGAAAAAGAGGCCCGTAAATGTCAGAAAACTCCGGCTTTCCAATAAACGGAGGAAAATGAATACCTCTGATATAGTGGTGTAGTGCACAGAATGGGTGGTGTGATGGCTGGAAAAGAAGTGACTTGAAAGCAGGCAATTTCCAGGACATGATATACAGCACGTTCTTTAACAAAAATGTATGTATCGCCACCATCTGTGTAGACATATTTCAGTGTAGCGGCTACGTCTTGTTTGCTTTGTACATTTAATTTAAAAAATGAATCCCTCTCAGTACACCACTTTGTTCATTTAATCGTTTCCTAGCAGGTTGTAAGCCCGCTGTGGTGGTAAGATGAGGCGGCACTCACTTTGCTGATACTCTGTCAGTATCACTCACTGATTAAATTTCCTAGAGTAGCCTGCAATGGCCAAATTGCTTCTTGTATTTAGACAAAGTGCTCTTGTGGGGAGAAAGAAGCCAAGTGCATCATGTAGAAGCAGAGAAGTAGGAGGAGGAGGAGGCAAAAGACTGATGGGTGAAAAGAAAAGAAAGGGGATAAGAGAGACAATTAGAGGATGAAGAAGAGGAGGAGAATATGATGGAGGGAGAGAGGGGTGGAGAAACTTAGCATGAGGTCTGAGTGGCTTCCTCTTTACTCTACTGTAGCTGTCAGAGAGAGAAAAAGCTTTAGAGATGTTAAGGTGGTGCTAAACTAAATAAGGAAGAGGGAAATGGAAAAGACAGTGAAAAGCTTATAAGCTGCTCCCCAAAGCTGATGCCATAATCTCTTCAAATGCACATTGTGTTCTGATTTTATTATCAGTATATGTGAGCGGCGAGATCACCTGAGCATGAAATACAAAACCCGGGGAGTCGGAGAAAATATGCAAACAGCAAATTTTGTGCAGGCCTCTCCCGGTGGCAGACATTCTGTTGTTGACCTTTACGCTTTTGTGTGTTCGTACAATTCTTCTGCCGCTATCTCCAGCATAACAACCCTCTCCTGTTTCTCTTTTATTTTTTTCACTTCTTCAGCGGCTTCTCTCTGGACTTTCTCGTCTTTTCTCTCCTGTTTTAAAGGTCCCACACTGTGCCCCCTTAAAAGCAAATTAATGAATGGCACCAGGATGTGTCTTTTAATTGTTCAAAATAATGCAAAGATGGTGGTTTTTACTGTGACTAGATGCCAGTTTTAGCGGGCTGTTGCAGTATCTGGTGGTTTAAATACAGTTCAGCTGCTGCTTCCACACCTTCTTCAGGAAGAAGACTCTCTCTGATTCTGCTCTGATGCATGCTCATTTGCATAAACATGCATAAATAAGTCCTGGACGTTTACTTGCTTCTCAGAACAACAATTCTTTGTAACTCGTGTGAGTTTGTCGGACACCGTTGTGGTTACAAATTAGTAGTTAGCTCTGAAGTATGTGGTCCTAAAGAGCCACATTTCAGTGTCTCTTCTATACTTCCATTGTGTGACAGTGAAAGCAGAAAAATAGGTTAATGAGAGCAGGTTTATTGGGAAGTGGGCTGTATTTAAATGCTGTATATGTGAGCACAGAGGGTAGGAGAGAAGCCAGCTGATGTCAAAGACTGACTTAAGACTGCACATCGACTCAGTCCTTGTTTATTCATTTCAAATTGCTCTTAAAGTATTTCCCATTTCTGATTGACCCATAGCTGCAACCGTTAGCACCATTGCCTCGTAGCAAGAAGGTCGCCGGTTCGCGTCCCAGTGAGGACACGGATGGAGTCTCCATGTTCTCCCCGTGCAGCGTGGGTTCTCTCCGGGTTCTACGGCTTCCTCCCACAGTCCAGAAACATGCTGAGGTTAATGGGTGATTGTAAATTGTCCGTAGGTGTGAATGTGAGTGTGCTTGGTTGTCTGTCTCTAAGTGTAGCCCTGTGATAGACTGGTTACCTGTCCAGGTGAACCTGCCTTCACCCTGAGTCAGCTGGGATAGACTCCAGCCCCCCATGACCCTAGTGAGGATTAAGGTGTAGAGATGATGGATGGATGGATGATTGTCCCATGGCTTTACAGTTTCCACAGAGGTAGCTCATGGTAACGTTACACTCAGTATTTTCTCCTTCAATGTTCACTTCTTTAGGTGCTGGGAGTGCGTGAAGACTCTTGTGTTCACTCTTGCAGCCAGCAGCAGAACATTTAGTGTGTTTTGCATGAGACGTTTTAGCGTTAGCAGAAGCGGCTATAGCGAGTAAATAAAGCTGCTCATTCTGAGTGGGTTATCTAGAGGCAGCAATCAGTGAGGGTGATGGAGGTCTTTAACTGGAGGACGACTGCTTCCTCTGTGTTTACATAGAAATGTGATTAGATTCTAACTAGCTTGTAAAGCAGAGACGCAGAGGAATGGGATCAGTAAGTGTCTGCACATTTTCACAACTTTAATTTTACAATTCCAGTTTTATAAATAAAACAAAACACAATAAAAACTCATTTTGCCCGTATGGGACCTTCAGAGCAGATGTGTTTGAATGTGTTTTTATTTAGCTCGCAGTGATGATAGAAATAAATAACACAGAGTGTTTATGAAGCTGTTTCTACGGCCACATCGAGCCCAGTTAATTCACTTTTACTTCTTCTGTAAACGGTGGCATCATAGCGTTTGCACAATAATGCATTTCAAGGATAAAACATGAAATAGCCAGTTTTGCTGAAACATGATCAACAGAGTGGTGTTTGGATCCCTCTGACATGTGCACCGCTGATTGGGATGGGTTCATTTGCATGCGATCTAATTGGGTCAAACAGTGGACGGCGTTCTGCTCGGAGGGTGCAGATTTATCACTGCTGCCTTCAGATGGCTGCAGGAATTTAATGAAGTGACGGCACAAAGCAGCTGTGGACAACAGATTCTGTAGGACTCACATATGCTAATAGATCAATGCCGACTGCTTCACCAGTGCTGCAACACACAATAAACTCCAGTGTTTTATCCCAATTTAACTGGCAGGGGAGTGATTAATTAAAGGTTTTATTTTATATTTTGGGTTTGTTGTGGGCTTGTTGATAGAATCACCAAAGTAGCAGCGACGTCGCGCCAAATACCAACAACTTCCTGTTCCATTTGAATAAACCTCCTACCTGTCTGCACCTTTTCTCCCACCTGTAGCACCACCAGCTCGTTTCTTGGCGCCACACTGAAGCACCTTTCAGAGGAAATCAGCAAACAGTCGGGAGTGCTGCTCGAGTGGCCGTCCCCAGAATAGCAGCTTCATGTTAATCTCTGATGTGTCGCACCAGGACGCTCGATGCTCTCCTCCTCCTCCTCCTCCTCCTCGTCTCTCGTCTCGCAGACTTTACCTCTTTCTCCTCCTTCAGCCTATTCTGTCTCTCGATTGCCCTCTCGTCCCCACTTTCGCTTCATTCTTCTGTCAAGTCTCCTGTTCACTTTCCTCATCAGCCACTTCATCTCCTTCTTTGCCTCTCAACTCCCCCATGCCCTTCTTCTTCTTCTCCTCCGCCCCCTCAGCCCTTCTTCCTACTCCCTCTTGTATTTAATATATTCCTTTTTTTCCCCTCCTTCTTGTCTCAGAGTGAGGACCTTCCCCAAGGACTCGGCCTTGCTGGGCAGGGACACCGTTCGGGCCCTGATGCACTACGCTTTGAAGGTCTGGAGCGACATCGCGCCGCTCAACTTCCACGAGGTGGCCGGCAGCGACGCCGACATCCAGATCGACTTCACCAAGGCCGACCACAACGACGGATATCCGTTCGACGGGCCGGGGGGCACCGTGGCGCACGCCTTTTTCCCCGGAGAGAGGTTCACGGCTGGAGACACGCACTTCGACGACGACGAGGCCTGGACCTTCAGATCACCAGGTGAGGAAAGCTGCCGTCTGTTCTGGTGTCTGTGGGATTAGAATCCATTTGCAGCAACAGCATAAAACACACTCGATTATACACGTACATTTATATCATCACTTCAGCTCAGACTTCTTCATTCATTACTGTTGGCTAATATTTTCAAAGCAGCCGATTCATTGATTTTAGATAAATGTGTTTAACCTCCTTCATTCACATTTTTCCTCGCTGTGGCTCATCTTTCGCTGGAATACAGGTTATAATAATATAATATAACAGCACAACTGTGACTAGAAGTAGCGGTGACTCAAGAATGTCTCTTCTGCAGTTCCAAGTCCTCGTTTGTGTCCTGTTTTACTTCGATTTTTTATAGGCTCTGCCACTCTTGTGATTGTCTGTTTTCACCTCCTTGTCGTCACCTCGGCCTACCTCGTGTGTTCCTGCCCGTTCTCCTCTCCCGATTCCTCTTGTGTTCAGGGTTTTTCTTATTTTCCTGCTCTTTGGATGTGTTTGTTGGATTTTTTCCTATATTCCCTCTTGCTGCCTTTTTTTCTTTCCATCAATCTTTTGTTCCACCAAAAGTTTTATCAAACTTCTCTTCAGCTGCCACAAAGTCAGACTGATGTTGGCGATGCTAAATAAGGTTTAACCCGTCGATAACCCTTAAACATAATCCACTTCAGAGCAGGTTGTGTACAAGATATCATATAAACATGCCGCCTACTGACTGATCAGTTCTCTGATGTTGGACGGGAGGAGGGCAGCAACTTTTAGCGTCTAAGCCGTTGTCTTTCTCTCGCGAGCAGACCGATAAATCACTGAGGCCTTGTCATGTTTGACCTCATAAGATCTGCAGTAAGCCTGGTTACCGGTTTGCATTATGTGTTTTTATTTGCTCTTTTCTTGCTCGACACTTCCAGGGTTGCAGCTGAAAGAACAGGGCGGCTAGAACTGACTTACGCAGCATAAAAATAGACGACATTTAACAGAATACGCTGTTGTAATCACAGTCAGGTTTACTTGCGTCTTAATGGCAGGGCAGTGATGTTACACATTCACACAATCAGCCTGGTTTGTTTTTTTTTTCAGCTTTCCTTCGTGCTTTGGCTGCAACAACAGTGTTGCTCTCTGCCTCAATTATATTTTAAACTCCTCACATTGGTTTAGGATTATGGTTTGTTCTGGGGATGCAAATTTTGAACGACTTCCTGAGCTGATAGTTGCCAACATTATCAATTAATAATAACACAAAATGAATTCAGTGAATCTAATTGCAGGCTGCAAGGTGGCACAGTTGGTAGCATCGTTGCCTCACAGCTAGAAGGTCGCCGGTTCACGTCCCGGTGAGGACACCCGGGATCTTCCTGCGTGGAGTCTCCATGTTCTCCCCGTGCAGCGTGGGTTCTCTCCGGGTTCTCCGGCTTCCTCCCACAGTCCAGAAACATGCTGAGGTTAATTGGTGATTCTAAATTGCCCATAGGTGTGAATGTGAGTGTGCTTGGTTGTCTGTCTCTAAGTGTAGCCCTGTGATAGACTGGTTACCTGTCCAGGTGAACCTGCCTTCACCCTGAGTCAGCTGGGATAGGCTCCGCCCCCCATGACCCTAGTAAGGATTAAGGTGTATAGATAATAGATAATAGGATAATTGCGTAGCCTGATGGATTTACATTCACTATGGTCATGTGACGTGAAGCTAACAACATGAAAGCTCTGGCGGGTAGCTATTAACCATCACAGAACACTTTCTCATGGTTTGCTAAAACTCCCACAATGCTCTCTGCTTGCCAACATGGAACTGCAGGTAGTCTGCAGTCACTACAGTATTAAACAGTAAGAGGCTCCACCTGGTGGCGCAACCAGGCACTACAGCTACGGCGCAGTACATTGTCAGACATGCATATCCTTCATCTTCTCCCCTAATAATTATAACACAGTTTATTCTACTTGAAATGAGAAATATGCGGCTGTTTGATTCATCTCCACCGGGCCTGTGTCAGCGCTGGAGCACGTGGCTGTGGATCTGCTCATGCTCGTGATTGGTCATCAAACATGCTCGTAACCAGTTACCGTAGCGCTGGTTTGACTTATGGAGTCATTAACCAGCTTCGTGCGGCTGCTTTGCTTGACTGCGGTTGTTAGAGTTGAAAGATGTCCTGGTGGTACTGGACTTGCTTTGAGTTAAAGGCATCTGATCGCCTTCACTTCAGCTGGTTATCACGCTTGATTTTGTCCATTTTTGACTGAAGAAGCATCAGTTAGCCATCGCTACATATGAGCTTCATTTATTCATTGTGATCTTGATGAATTCCTCCCTCACGTCGTTATTAACCTGGATTATTAACCTCAGTCACATTAATTATTACCTGTTCTGTTGTGTCGTTACCCGGTCCGTCGATGCCGGCCGCGTTCAGCCGGTGTGAAGCCGCCGCTCTCGCTTTCAGCTGTGTGGGCTAATAGAGCTGCTTTATGCAATGTTTTCCTGAATGATCTGGCCAAATTTCTTTCATCAAACAGTTTTCAAAGAGCTTGATTACCCGCCGAGGGAGATCCGCGGGTTTGAAACGAGGACATAGTGACAGCGGCTCTAAATGGAATTCAATCAGCTGTGCCAATCAAAAATAGATGAGCTCATATTAGAGATATCCGTCATTCTTGGACAGCTGTGGAAAACACAACACAGGGTTTCAGTCACGGATTCATTTTTGTCATCTGTTCACACATTCACAGCCTACAGGATGTCTTCATCATCTGCTGACCTGTTTGTGTCCTTGCTATCTTATTAATACGTATAAATCCCTCCGCTGTGTGGGCGCTCTCTGCCGCAAATGAACATTTTTCAAAATGTGGCCAAATGGTCAAGTTTTCTAAACCTTGGCAAGTCTCGTCACTTATCCTCATTTTTGTGTCCGGTGTCCTTTGCTTTAATAAAAAAATAAAAACCGCTAAAAGTGGAGGGAGGTTGGCAAGTGGGAAAGGGTGGAGGGGCATTATAGGTCCACTCATCCGGATGAGATAAGCGGATGGAGTGATCTAGTCCACTGAATGCATCATCAGGCAGGGACTGTCTCAGCACGGTCACATGAATGACAGCATAAATCATTAACTCTCCTCTTTTTTTTTTCCTGACTTGCTTTCTTTATTCTTCCTTTCATGTGGATGACTGAACTTAAAATGACCTTCCTCTCTCCTTTGCTCAGTGCCTCCATTTGTCCCATTTTTTTTGAAAGATGGATGGACAGTGGAGAGCGGGGACGAGGATAAGGAGGGAGGTGCGATAAACGATCGGCTGCGATATTTCTCACAATCCTCCAAAGTGGGTTAAAACCAGGAGGGAAGGTGGCCGCGAGTTTTCACATTCGGGCTCGGAAACATTAGTTTGACGGAACAATCCCGACTCAAGGTCCGCTCGCTGGTGAAGCTGTCTTTGGAGGGGGATTATCCGACCGAGGGTCCAACAAGTCTGCAACTTTCTGACATAATAACAACAACACAGCGTCCACAGAGGTTTTATAGCGACTCCAACACGTTGGCAGTGCACCAGCTGCTTCTATCTTTACCCAGAGTGTATTCAGACGGTAGGTCACTTAAGCCCTTTCTAGACGTGGAATATGTAACATCACCGGCTTCATCAATCTCTTGAAGTGACGCCGTTCTGTCTGTCACGCACAGGTCACTTTATGTTAATGTTACTCCCGGCTTCGATCGCACAAAGTGATGGAGGGAGCGGCGGGACGTGTGCGAAATTTGTCATTCATGCAAGACTGGACGGTGACACAACAAAAGACCAAATCTAAACGAGCAGCAAGCTGATCAAGCTAGTTAGAAAAATTCTGTGGTGATAATCTAACTGCTACCTAGACAACAGTAAAATAAAATTAAAGCTGGTCGGGTCCTTGCCGTACGATTATCGGCCTTCATGCACGTCGGGGTTCGGCAGAAAAGCGCTCCAGGTGGGACTCTAATCCAGCATGTTGAGTTTCAGACCGATCGGAGCATGTGCGGCCTAGTTACGAGCCACTTCCTGTTTAATGGCGAGCCATGGCAGCGTGCGTGTTGGGCCGTGGCGGAAACATGCTCTGGCTCGGACTTGGAGGACGCGTGTAAAGTTTTAGGCCGATCAGAGCACGTACAGGCCAGTTACAGGGCAGGTCTCGTTTTATGGCGTTTTGGCCAAATTTCACGGTTCACCATTTCCACGCCGTCAGACTTTTCCCGACCGTTTTACTAATTTGTAATGATCACATCCTGTAGTTTGTGATGACCAAATTTCAGGTGTGTGCGACCGTCACTGTAGGAGGAGATAGATGTTGAAAATGGCCGAAAATGAGCGAAAATGGGCCGTCATGCTCGCCGTTTTTCCAACATGGCAGATTTCCTGTTGGGTTTGCGAAAACATGCTGATGGACTTTTTTGTGCGTCCCGACCTGCTCCACATGTGTACTGGTTCTTGTAGATCTAAGCCAAACGCTGGGACTCTATGGGGCGCCGTTGAGCCGTGTTGCATGTTAGAGCTTAGGGCTGGGCGACTTTTTTGTTCGTCCTGACCTCCTCCATATGCTTACCAAAGTTCGTAGCTCGAGGCCAAACATGCCTGTGACAGGAGTCCGTTGAAATTTTCAGAGGTGGCGCTGTGGAGCCATTTTGGCAGTGACATGTCCAAGTCCCTTAACATATCAAATTGAGTTTTGGGGCATGTTTAGGCCTTCAAAAATGTGTTTCAATGATCTGAAAAATAAAGAAAAATCATAAACCCAAGGGTGTCCATAGGGTCGTTGAACTGTTGGACCCTAAATATATCCTGATGACTCTGACGGCGATCAGGACTCAATCTGAGGACGATCGCTAAGTAACAAACTTAGCTCATGTGTGTCAGCTCACCTGTTAAGTCCTCATCCATCCAGCCTCCATGTCAGGGATTACGTTTAATTACGAGTAATTAATGACCGGCGTTGGATTGGCCCACATGGATCCTGCTGCTGTCTGAAGCTGCAGGTGTTCATTAAACTCAGAGAAAATACTCCTACAAACACCTGGAAGGAACACAACCTGAAGTACGTCACTTCAGCGTGTCGTATCTGTTAACGTGTTAACATGCAGTTCAGATTTGGTTGAAGTGATGCAGAAACTAGACCCACCTGTTTGTGACTGATTCTGACGTGTTCAGCTGCCATCAGATTAACGGAAAGGAGCTCATGTCTGAAAGGGCCTCTGATGAACAGCACAAATGTGAAACTTGGTGCACACTTCCGGACAAAGGCTCAGCAGTTGTGCGAAGGACATGAAAGGAAAGCTGCAAAGAGAAAATCAAACCGTGCCTGATTTCCCCTGTCTGCACTGGTGGAGCTAATCACTGTGCAAAGCGGTCATGCATGTTGAACCGGCGGCGTCGTTGCACGGATTCCCAAAGTTGCCGGAGGTTCGTGCTTCTGCTTGACCCTGTTGCTTGTTATTTCCGGTAACTTCTCCCTGAGTTGTAAGTGTTTGAGATGAAGGGAAGAAAATGAAACCCGCGTCCTGCGCCAGCCTAAATGAAAAGCCTCGTCTAGCTGGGGAAGGTTTAGTTTTAATCACACATCAGGTAGCGGGCTTGTTGGCTCGCGCCGCCCGTCCTTTGTTCCAGCGCAACGGTGGAAAATAAAGAAAATAGCTTTGATTTTTCTAATTATATCTGCTGCTTGTGGGTAATCGATGCCTTGTGTTTCATCTCTGTTTCTATAGAACTGAAAATAGCGCCTAAGCAGAGCAAGAGTAATTGTTCGAGCCAGGCTGTATATACCACCATCTGCTAAAAAGTCCCCGAAGCCAATAGATGAAGGAGTGCCAAAAAGTTTGTGATGTGTGAGGATGCCATTACTCCTCCTCTAATTCCAAGTGAAGCCTTTTTCCTTCTGGGAGAAACAGAATTACACAACTTGGCAGTCCTCCGCCTCTTTCCAACGCTTCCTCACCTCAACCCTCAGCCGTCCCAAGTAGACAACGCCGCTTCCCGCACGAAAGATGAATTCGCGACACAATCTGACATGAGTAGCTCTTCCAAAGCTGCGAGCAAAACAGGGGAATCTGTAAGCAAGCAGCATTTTATGAAGCAGCTGCACTGACAATGTGAGCGATTCTGCAGCGCGGGGATAATGACAGTAGATCCACTGTGTGCGTCTCAGGGTCGTGTGTGTGTTTTTGTACAGAGCGGTTCGGTTACACTTTGTGCTCGTGACGCAGCCGTACTTTATTTGATGTTCCTTCATTATGAAAAATCTGCCTCTTGTGGAGTTTTGCCTTGAAACGACCGTCCAATAAGAATCCAAGGATGTTACTCAGTCTGTTTGCGCTGCGTTCTTTCTTCATTCTGTTAATGTGATGTATAGGAATATTCATCTTGCATTTGTGCTTTTTACTAAACGAGGCGAACATTTCAGGTTGTTTCTTGTAATTTTAGATAAAAGCACCTCCAGTATTTGATGCATGGCGTAGTTATCTCCTCACTAGCGTCACTTTACTTGAGCTCATTCTTATTTTCATCGTTTATTTGCTGCTCACTAACAATAAACTCGACTGAAATGATAGTTTTGTAAGCCCCAAAGTTCAGTGTGCTTTCAGATGTTAGTGATGTTAAAGATAAACTTCTAAACTGAATGATAAATATTTAAAAATTGCAAGAATTTGTTGTTATATAAGCGATATTTTTGTAGAAATCCAAAAACTTTCATGAGAAAAATGTTAACTTTGTTGGTCAGTATTGGTAAAATCTGTCCAAATATAGTTTTTATTATTATATCCATATATTTATAATATTTTTATTATGGTATGTGTAGTTTTACAGTTTGTACACATTTAAATATCCTTTTTTAAATATTAAAAATCAAAGAAAAATAACAAAAAATACACCAGAAACACAAGAAAAATACACATCTTGTGTAAAATTAACCCTATTCAGGACTTTTGGGGTCTCCGGGCCATTTGGTTTAGGTGACAGGTGTTTTTTTTTTAATTTTTCAAGATTTATTTTATTTTAAATATAAAAAGACGGACATTTTTCATGCATTTGGAACCAAAAGTGCGTCAACTTATCAGAAAATGTATTTAACGTTGTATAAAAGTCTGTAATAAATAGCAACAAATATTTTGCATGTATTCTTTAATGGCGTTCAGTGGACCTTCTACCTTCTACTTATGGAAACATGAAAGTCGTGGATAGAGTCAAGGCTGCAAAACGTATATTACTGTGTTTTTATTACGTGGATATTTCTACAGTATGTTTGATCGACACAGCTGAAATCAGTTTCCTGTTTAGCTTCACACAGGAACCTAAAGCCTGCTTAATGTCTTTTCATCCTATTAACTGTTGCCCACAAGAGCGACGCCTGCAGACAGATCCGGCGCCCCGCGGTGCGTTCTGGCCCGGGGCTGCGGGGTGGGGACCGCGGAGAGCCGCGCAGTCCGACCCAGCTGGCGGGCCTGTGACGGGGCCGGGACCTGCGCGGATCTCCCTCCTTTTGTGCTGCGCTGTCGGGGCTGTGAACCATATGTTGCAGGACAGCAGCTCAATCTGCTCCAATTAGACCTCCCACCGGGCTGCAGCGGCGGCGGCGGGACGGGCAGACGACGCCGTGGCGCGTCTTGAACACGTGGTTTCAATGCGAGCATGGAAACGGCGACAGCTGCGTAGACGTAGGTTTAGTTAATGGAAGCGGAGCAGCGAAGGAGAAAGAGGTCAGCTGTGGGAGCTTAAGAGTCATTTGTTTGTCAGGTTCTAGCAGCCAATAAGCTACAATAATACCTGCATTAACCGCAAAGTTATTGATTAAAGCCATAAGTTCCAAGATGATGTTGATTTTGCCGCCTTGAATAATTCATAGAGACTAAAGGATGGTTGTAGCCGTTGTGTTGAAGTCAAACGGCCTTCAGCGCAGGAGAAAGTAAAAAAAACACATATGGATAAATTCTGTGAATCATCGTAACTCGTCCAAGGATACCTCGTTCCTCCGCCGCCATGAATCCCCTCAAGGGTGAGATTCACATCTAACGTTTCCATCTGTAAAGCAAGCGGCCTGCTATTTTTAACTGTTAAACCTTCTGAAGAGAAAACTCCTCTCGAACGTCTTTAATCACCTCCCAGAAGAAAACCTCTCCGTCTGCGAGAGATCGGCTCACCTCTGCATCTGAATGTTTTGTTTGGCCGTTTGCCTTCTGAGGCCGCCGTACGATTGCTCTGAGGCAGGCGGAGAGGGGAAGAAAAAAAAAAAAGTTAATTGAACGGCTCTTAATTCCTTCACGTCACACTCCGCCGGCTTCACCTCCGACGTCATCGGCTCGTCTCTCGGGCGTCGCTCCCTGCCTCCATCTGCCTGCAGACGTCTCTGTCGCCACAAAGCTATCAAAATGTTGTTCGCAGGAACTTTTTTGGGAGCGTTGAGAGGATATATCGTGTAAGGTCAGCCCAGGAGGTGAACGTTGGTGCTGCAGCAGATTGTTATGTAATCGTCTCCAGAAAAAGGAACCTTATCAGACAAATCCGGAGCTGAGTAATTGCCTCTGCTAATTCCCTTCCCCCCATCTCCCGGTGCATTGTTCTCAGCGGGACCCTGAGTCCAGGTCCTCTCAGGCCATCTCCTAATGTGCACGATGATGCTGAATGGTGGAAATTAAGCGCCAGGTTTAGTGGACCGGCTCGCCCCCCCTGCTGTGTAGATTGATGGTTCCGGCATCCATTAGGAGTCGCGAGAGGTGGAATCTCACCGAGATCAAATAAGTGGAGGTCTGGAAGTGCTGTTTTTGCCTTGACAGGCAGCAGATTGCTTCTATTAATTATCACTCAGCCAGCAATCTGCTTGTGCGGGCTGATTACCCGGACTGAAACAAAAGCGTCATTAGGCAGGTGAATTTTTCATGACATTCAGTTTTTTCGGTGTGTGTGTGTTTATGTCGGGGGGAACATAAGTGTGTGTGTGCTGCTTGTGTGGAAGTGTTCTGCAGAGAGAGACAAAACAACACGGTTAGAACATAAACGGGAGGCGTGTTGGGCAGTGGGCGGCCCGGCGGCGCAGCAGTTCTGGGTTTGAACCTGCTGGAAGGCGGTTCTGTTCGGAGTTCTTCGTGTTCGCTCCGTGCTTCCTCCCACGGTCGACAGGCGTGTATGGTCGGTTAGTTGGTGATTGTAGGTCGGCAGTAGGCGTGAGTGTGAGCATCTCTTTGTGTTGAACCCCGCCTCTCGCCCACTGACAGCTGAGATGTTGGGACCCTGTTGTGAACAAACCGTAATTTGAGCACACCTGAATATAAGCCGCACCCACTAACTTTCATCAGAAACACAAGTTTTGTACATATACAGGCCAAACTTGTTGTAACATGAGATATTTACACAGAAAGATTACGTACCGGTAACGTACACAAAGACGTAGATGCTTTTTTCTGAACAGTTCCTGAAACACGGCTGGTAAAGGAAATAAAACTACAGCATCCTGCCAGGAAAAGTCATTGATCGCTATCTTCACCTTCCTCCTAAAACCACTAAAGTCGTCTTCTTCAGTGTCAGAGTTGAACAGAATCACTTCATCACTTCTTCAGTCTCTCTGTCGTTGTCGCTCTCAACGTCATTTGGTCTCGAGGTAAAATCGTAAAAATCCATAAATTAGCCGCATCGTTGTTTAAGCCGCAGTGGAGCAGAAGAGCCAAAGCTCGCTTGATCCTGACTTTCAGTACGACTGTGAAAGCGAGGCCTCACCATCCTTCTGACTTTTTGGGTTTTAAGCAGGAGGTGTCAGAAAAGTTACCACAGGGATGACTGGCTGGTGGCGGCCAGGAGTTCACAGCAACGTCGCTTTTTGATCCTTCGATGTCGGCTCTTCCTGTCATTGTAAAGCAGAACTCATCAAGCGTTGGATTGTTCATCCACTAAAAGGTAACGTCGTGAGACAGGTTAGTTTCATCCCACTGATGATGTCTTGTTGCAATCCTGCCCAGTACGAGAGGAACCTCATGGAAAAAGTAGCGGCTTATAGTCCAGACATTAAGGTACATCTTTCCTTTCCTGTCTCATAATCAGCCCTTTGTTCATGGAGCTATTCTCCGTCACTCTCCCTGCTGGCTTCCATGCTGCCTCCCAAGGTGAGCTGGTCCGAGGCCTCCTTGTTGCCCCCATCTGTGCCCACAGACCTCCATGATGGAGGCTGAGGCTTGGCTGGTGGTTGCCCTACGAAGACGGGTTTAAGGTCTGAAAATAACAATCCTCCACCTTTAGACTTTATTTCGGGGTGTGCATGGAGGCCGATGTGGAGTCTCTATAAAGCGACACCAGGTCCAGACCAGCTTCTTAAAACTCTAACCCCAGGACGGTGCGGTGGCTTCACTCTGGTCGCTCTCTGTGAGTTTTACTTTTTATTGTCTTGATTTAATACGTAACAAGGTGAGATCAGTCCCTGACTTTTATTTATGCATTTAAAGGTATTTATTCACGTGTTTTTTTTACTTGAACATAAAGATTATTCCTGGTGCATCTTAATAATTAGAGTACATTTGAATAAACCTTTTATATTAATAAAAATATTGCATCAGAAATAGTCGATATTATTCATGTCGGCTAAAATGAGCATTTTTATGTAATTCAATAAATTTTTAGGTTTTTGGATTTGTCTAATGGATGGATCCAAGTTTATTTTTACTATATTTTCATTTGCATAAACATCTCATCAAAATACAACATATATTAGGATTGATGGAGTCCTGATTTTTAAGGATCTATAACTGGGACACTGTTCTAATGACTATGATTGGATTTAAATAAATTTGTTGGTTATTTAGTTTTAACATTTTTATGGACATTTGATCAGTGCTGACGCTGAGACAGATCCGGCTACACGAGTCGACTGAAAGGATGCAAAACTTACACAAAACTGCCAAAAATATGATTTAGCATTGACTCTGTGCACAAATTCACCGTCTCGTCTTCTCCTGTGCACAAGCTCCACAGCGTGCATCATTCACTTTCAAAATAAAGGTCTTCCAAGCGAAACCTACAAAATAAAGTAACTGCAAGTCACTGATAACGTGCAGGATTTTTCTTTTTCTTTTTCTTATCGTGTATGTAAAACTGTTAGAAGGCATTTGTATGGAATGCGTTGCTAGGCAACTGTTTTAGTTATGGCACCGTGGACAGGATGGAAAGATTTATTTAAAAGTCTTCCTCTGACCTTGTCTTCCTCCGTCCCTCTGTGCTTTGTCGGTGGAGGATCGAAGGGGAGGTTAGAGCCTCCGAACGAACAGAGAACCCGACAGGACGGCTGATATACGTGGAGAATAGTAAACTTTACTCTCACCGTGTCATTACGGGTCGCTTTTATGGAGCCTTATTGAAAGTGCGGTTTAAAGTTTGACGCCTTTAAACTTTACTCTCTGCGTCTCGTCTGCGCCCTGGTTTTCACTCCACGTTCCCACACTGATGCCGTCGGTACCAGAATAGACAGTAAATAATTATTCAATACAACACAGAATAGAAAACTGAAGGGAGAAAAAAAATGCTGCAGAACAATTCAGCGCCGGTAAATAGCAGCAGAATCAGAATCCGTAGACAATAAACAAAAGCACAAAGTAAGAACAGGATCACATAACGGCAGGCTGAGAGAGTTACGCAACCGTAAACTTTAATGTATGTGCATCTGTTTGTGCTGTACGGTTCCTTTTAACTCTAGTGGAGATGTAATCAAACTGTTGTGTTGCTCTGAGTCTACACTCGTGCACGATTCTTTTCAAAAACATCAGCTATCATTGATTATTATGACATATGTTTGACTTTTGCTTTGTGAGAGTTCAGTCTTCGGGGCAGCAAATGTAGATCAAAGTGTGTGTGTCCACCGAGTCTGGACGAAATATGAG